TGTCGCCACTGATCATATCCTAAGGTGTGTTTAGTTCCACGCCAAAATTGGAGGTTTGATTGAAATTGGAACGATGTGACGGAAAAGCTGGAAGTTTGTGTGTGTAGAAAAGTTCGATGTGACGTTTTGGGGGTTCAAACTGTGGAACTAAACCGGGCCCTAATATTCCTACAACTACCATTACACAAAACACTGTCTAGTTTATGCGTGTTGTCTGAATTGGTGTTTTTACCACAAAACAATGTTTAGTTTATGCATATTGTTTGATTGGCTATACCCACGTTGACTTAGGACGTTCACAAATGTAGAAATAGGGCCTGGTTTAGTTCCCAACTTTTTCTTCAAACTTCCAACTTTACCATCACATAAAAACTTTCCTACACACACAAACTTTCAACTTTACTGTCACATCGTTCTAATTTCAATCAAACTTCCAATTTTGACGTGAACTAAACACATCTTAGAGGGGGTCTTAATCCTCTCAAGCAACCGTCCCTGTATATTGTGAAGATGTTGTGAAGATGGTCCTTATAGATCTATTTTGGATGATCCACCGTTAGCCATAAAAACTATCACAAGGAATAAAATAGCCCATTGTTTATGGGCCTGTTTGGCACAGCTCCAGCTCCAGCTTCACCCCTTCTGGAGTTGGAGCTCAGCCGAACAATTTCGGCTCCACCAAAACTGGGAGTGGAGCTGGGTGGAACTCTCTCACAAAATGAACTAGAGTTGTGGAGCTGGGTTTAGGCAGCTTCACAACTCCACTCCAGACTCAACTCTTGGAGTTAAATTTAGGAGTTGGAGCTATACCAAACAGGCCCTATATCTCTCCCCTGCTACTCTATTCTCCCTCTCTCTTCAAGGTGGGGCCTAGCCGAACACTCCCTCATTGCTATATACATTGTAAAAGAGATGCTATATAATAGTCATTGTGATTTTAAAGCCACAGAAACATGATACTCACAAGAGATAAAAACGGTATATATTAAGAGAAAGCCATTTATGTATACTACTGTATATAAGTATATACTATTAAGACTTTAAGAGAAAGCCAAGCTATTATGTTAATAAGTACCATATCTGCTATCTTTAAATGACGATTTCAGCCTGTTCTTTATATCTGATGGATTTATGACAATTTTTTGAGTGCAGAAATGAGTAAACTAAACATTAGAAAGTTGAAAAGTTTGTTTTTTTAATAGAAATATTGATAAAAAAGTTCTTTTTTATAAAAATCATACTTCCTCCAGTTTGTATTATGAGTCGTTTTAACATTTTTCCTAGTCAATGTTTTTAAGTTTAACCAAATTTATAGAAAAAATTAACAACATCTGAAACACCAAATTACTTTTATTAAATTTAACATTGAATATATTTTGATAATATGTTTGTTTTATATCGAAAATGTTACTATATTTTTTTTACTAAAGTTGGTCAAACTTAAATAAATTTGAAAAAAACAAAGCAATTTATAATATAAAATGGAGGGAGAACTGTTTAGAAGCACAGAAAGCGTGCCAATGATAGTGTATTGGCTGAAAAGGACGCAAAGTCACACATTCCCTGCTTTTGAAATGGCAGCACTTTCCGCTCTCATAAGAACATTTCAACTTTTCAACAAAGAAATGTCACTACAGCTCACTAATATTCTGTCTAGGCAAGAAGATACTTCCGTTTGGGAATAATCTTGACATGTTTTGAACGTTTCTTAAAGGGGCAATTGCTTATTTGACCCTGTTTTGAATTGTAATTGCCGATTTGACCCTACTTTTTGAACTTTGCTTATTTGACCCTCCTTTTCGAGTACGAAGCTTCCGACTGACCCTCTTTCGCTAACTCCGTTAGGGTTCAATTTTTTAAAAAAGAAAATCTTTACAGAGTTCCTAATGGCGAAAATACCCTCCAAAGCCCAAACCCTATTATGACTCTCTCTCTCTCTCACTCGTGCATTCCTCACGGTCTCACCTCTCTCTCACTCGTGCGTGCGGCGGCGGCGGCGAGTACGCGTGCGGCGGCGGCGGCCTAAGGGGGCGGCGGCGGCGGCGAGCTGAGGGGGCGGCGGCGGCGTCAAGCACAGACCCGCCGGCGCCCGCTCGTTGTGGTGGAGGGCAGTGGCGGCGGCACGTCCGGTCCGGGTCGACGCCGATCTGAGGGGGGCGGCGGCGCCGATCTGTGTGGGGAGGCGGCGGCGAGCTGAGGAGGCGGCGGCGGCGTGATGTACAGCCCCGCTGGCGCCCGCTTGTGGAGGTGGAGGGCGGCGGCGGTTTGATGGGGCGCGGGGCGGCGCCGATCTGAGAGGGTGGCGGCGGCGAGCTGTGGGGCGCGGCGACGGCTTGCTGTGGTGGCGCGGCAACGGCTTGCTGTGGGGGCGACGACAGCGAGCTGTGGGGTGCGGGGCGGCGACGGGTGCTACACGCGGTGACGGTAGGAGGGCCAGCGCTCGGAGGTAGCCGACATCGACGCTCCCTCAACCATGCAAGGTATTCCTACCATAGAAAGGTATTTTCCCTCTATTCTCTTTCAGTGACCCTGTGGTTGTGATCCTGTGAACCTGTGCATGCTTGTGGTTGTGACCCTGCTAGGTTATAGGAACAGATGCAATACCATGCAAATTTAGGGTATAGATGTTGTGTCCAGTGCTAATTTAGGGTTTAGATGTTGTGTCTTACTCTAATTGAACTTGGTGTCTCCATTGCTAATCTAACCTAGGGTTTATATGTTGTATGTTGTCTCCATTCCTACAAGCACCTAAAAATTTTACTGAAAGTTGTTCTTTATCTTGTGTTGCTCCTATTTGTAGGCCTGTTCCATGTAATTTGATTCTTGATGTTAGAGTAAGGTCACATTTTAGTTTGCCAGATGGGGGCCCAAAGACCTATTTCACAAGTAGGCATTTTACAACAGATGTGGACATAGCTAGCTTCAAATTGCTGCAGTTAGTTGATTTCATCGGCTCTAAAATTGTGTGAGGTTCTAAACAATACATTACTTTCTGGCGTATTTGTGATGATGCTTGGGTTGAGATTAGTAGTGATGAGCAATTGCATGAGTGGTTATCGCTGAACATAGCTCATGAAGTAGCCAATATTGAAGCCGATGTTGATGAATTTAAAGGCCCATTGCAATGCTCTCCCACAAAAAGAAGGGTCCATCCAAATTTCAGAAATAGTGTGCAGCTGCAAATTGAAAGTGCTCCACATATTTCTTTGTGTCCTCCTGCTGATCTAACCCTACCCACAGCTAAAGTGGTAGAGCCACCTATTTCAAAGTCTAAGCATACCAAAAGAGCCACAAGGAAAAGGGTCAGTGATGAGACAGTCGGAGTTGATGAGGAGGGCTCATATTCCGAAACTGAATCATTGGTGGCACTAAGTGATAGTAGCTATGACACTGACTTGGCTGCATCATCTGATTCTGATTGCTATGATTCTGAATGCTCTGACTCCGACAACAGCTATGAACCTGATGATGAAATTGTTGATGATGATGATGATGATGATTGTGATGATATTCATGATTTTTCATATGATGTTAATGATCCATGCATTGATGTAGATGTGCTGTTTCGCGATGTTGATGAGTGCAAATCAGCAGTAACCTGCCATGCAATCTTAAATGATTATGCTTTCCAAACTGTTAAAAAAAACAAGGATAGGTTTAGGGCAAAGTGTAGGCGAGCAGAGGAGGGTTGCAAGTGGACGTTTTTTGCATCCACCAGCAAGTCCAAATATGATGGTTGCAAGCTATGTAGTGCGCTGATTTTTTTTCCATGCTTTCAATCATGAATTTTAACATGTGTGCCTTTATGTGAATTTTAACAAGTCCATTGATTGTTTGTAACATACTAAAAATATGCTATTTTCTAAATATGCATCATGCCGATTCTTATGTTCTTAATAACCTTCCTAAACCTAAGAAATTACAATTAGAGGGACCTCCTAAAATTAACATGCATAAAATCCCTTTTTGGTATTTAAAATCTTTCGTGGTTTTATTCTAAAAATTGGTCTCGTTAAATTGAGGTATTCTCTTTGATTTGATTTTGCATCTTAAACCTTCTTTCGACCAAATATTTCCTTTATTTAAATTTAGTTTGAAAATCCTTTATACTTTTATGAATTGGTCCAAGAAAATCCTCCTTTGAACCTAAACCTCCAATAATTGTTAAACCATCCCTTTGATCTTAAACCTATCCTTAATTCTCGATCCAAATTTCCTTTTTAGCCTCAAATACTTCTCTAGAATCCATGCCATATATTTTGGGCTAAAATTATATTTATTCTACTCCTTCCATATTCCCTCCACATACTCAAAAATATTTAAATCTAGAGCCATATTATTTATAGTGTTGAATATTCCTATTTCCTATTTGAGTGCTTCCAAATAAATTCCCTCAAACTTCACCTCTAAAGATATCGCACTCAAATAAATCAGAAAATATCTCTTCTGGAAATTATATTTGGATATAATTTCCTTTCAAACCTTATTATTCAAATATTCTCCGAATTCGAATTCCTTGTAAAACTTAGCCATCCAAATTGCTTCCAATTACAAACTCTCCTCTAAATTAAACCTCTATGAAAATTAGACTTTCTTCCTATTTAGATTGGGCCGAATTCCCCTTCTCTCTTGCACGGCCCAAGCCGGCCCAGCTACCCCTCCCAGCCAAACCGATTCCCTCCTCCTCCCTGTGAGCGCCGCCACCGTATTCATGGCGCCCACGTCACCACTGCTGCCGTTCGCGGCTTTGCCGCCGCCGCCCGCAACTTTGAGCCGTCGCCGCCGTCTTTCCTTCGCCGCTAAGCATCCGCCGCTGACGTCAACCGCCACCTCACCCTGCTGACGCCAGCCACTGCACCAAACCGCCTTCATCAGCCAATAGGAGAACGAAGCCGGCGCCGTCATTCTCTTCCTCACGTCGCCGTTGCCGTGATCCCCTTCGTCTCCTCCTCCGAAACCGCCTCTAACCACCGCCTTTCCTCGCTTATATATAGCCGGAGAGACCCCGTTTCCTTCCCCATAGCCGAGCTCCTCGAGCTCTCTCTCTCCTGCCAAGTCCGGCCGACGCCGCCATCGGTCGATCTCCTCCCCTATAGCTTCCCTCCTAGTTTCCTTGCACCATCGGCTTTGCCTCCCTCCGGCGAACCCATTTTTCCCGTTTCCCCCTTCTCCCCCACCCCATAGCAACCACCACAACACCTCCTTTGCAGCCGAAGAGAAGCTCTTCTACTTGCCGTTCCGGCCAACTTCCCCTCTCTCTCGGCCAGCCACCGACTTCCCCGGGTGCGCGTCGTCCGGGAACACAAGTCGCCGCCGACGTCGCCGATCCCCGGCCACTGGAGCCCCAGCGCCCCTTCTCTCTCTCTCTCTGTTGTTACACGGGAAGAAGGAGAGGAGGAAGATGACGGGAGGAAGAAGAAGAAAGAAGAGAAAAAGAAAAAGAAAGACTGACAGGTGGGCCCCTGCACAGTAACATTTTGTATTTTCCCTATTTAATTCAAATCCTATTCTTTAGAAGCCCATATCTCCTAAACCGTAGATCCGATTTCAGTGAAACTTGGACCTAAATTTATCTAAATTCAAACCCTATCTTTTGACACAAAATTTGCTATTTTATAATTTTATTTGAATTTATTCAAATATAGTTTGAATTTATATTTGCCTTTTTAAATATTTTCTTTTTGTCCCAAAATACCCTTTAGCCACTAAAAAGCCGCCAGTTGGAACTTTACACCTTCCATGGGGACGCTCGCGGTTTACTATCCCCGACATCAGGCCGTTGGTTGTAAAGCCCGGCAAAACCAAACCTAAGGTCGAAGTGCTGCTACTGGCACCCCACGCCTCGATGCCTATAGTGGTCGGAGCTACACTATTCCCTCGACCTCCACAGCACGCTGCACAGTTAGCTATTGGGCTCTGTGTGATCCTAGCTGTTCCGCCGCCACTCACGGTTGTCGGAGTAACACTTCCGCCCCACTAAACCCACACAAACCTCCTATCCCTCTAGCCATTAAACTATCCGTTGATACCGGCTAGAAAAGATACCAGTTCTAGTCGTTATACTGTCCAACTCTAGCAGCAACTAGCAAACACCTAAACCCTAGCTAATATTTATCCTACCTCAATCAGCTTGCTATCCGAACTCCATACCAACCATTTACCCTTCTACTACCCATAGCCTATGCATGAAATACGAGCTGATATGCTATCCTATTTCAGCATCGACTCGAGAACAACTAAATCCTAGCCATTCTTCTACCAAAGCCCAACCTCGACCAATGCTAGCCACATATCCACTTAACCAGTTAGATTATTCGGTATATCCCCTATTCTCCAAGAAACCAAAAACCACACATAAAATATAAGTGACAATTATTACTTAATCCCCTCTAGCCTCCAACCCTTTAGAACCTACACATATTAGCCCAGTAATCCCTACACCCTATAAAGGAGATAGGTTATACCCTAAACCCTAGCCCTTTTAGTTGTTTATCGTTTTCTTGTTATTTTATGGATTTTATTGAAATTGGTTCTTCCTCTTCTCTAGTAGAGTCTATTATATTCTGGATGGCAACCTGTGGTATTTCGAGCATCGGATAATCAGGTTGCCTACCTTGATTTATTCGCGTTGGAGCAAGGCAAGTTATTATTCCTCCCCTTTGAGCATAATTATCCCATATTCTTATATCTCTATTCTATGCATTAGTCATACATGATTTTGAATGCATAACCTGAACATAGCAAACCAGATATGCTAGCTTTGCTTAGCCCTGCCTAGTTAGTCCGTATAAAAATATAATGAACTTAGATTGGGACAGTACGTAGGAATTGGTTGATTTCCGGGTGGCTAGTACTGTCTCAGTCGATATAGTTATTACCAAGTACTTATGTCAAACGAACGAGTACGACCGCAATTCTAGAATGGGGACAGACCTTGCAAAGTAAGTTATCTAGCAAAGGTGGTACCTCTGTACAGTGGTTCTATTGTAAGTCCTCGCGCAGGAGGCAATTATATGCCGCGAAGGGCAAATGTGACGTTTACCGAGGCGCAGGTAAATGATTTATTGAGCTCAAGTATATATATAATTGTGAAAACCTGGTTGAGATGACGGGGGTCTCTCAACCAGTTCTCTCTCTAAAAACCTCGGGAACGCCAGAACTCCTCGCGCTGCTGACAATGTTATGTTCAGAGCGCATGAGGATGAGAGTTCATGGAACAGGTGCCACTGATGTTAGTAACTGAAAAGCTTTGCCATGACTAAGCTAATGAATATTAGCATGTCATGGATTGCGGGTAAAGCGTACATTTACTGTAGTAAAGTAAACCTGAATCTATTCGAATAGCCGTGCTCACGGAATTGAGTATCGGGACTCATATGGTACTTTGGTTAGAAACCTAATTCAAGATTTTACTAAATGCTGCTGCATTTAAAACATCAGGCTTTCTATTTCTATATTCTCTGCCTTCTGCAAGTAATTGTAATCCTACTCAAATATTACTATTTCATTCACTCATTATCGAATATAATAGCTTGCTGAGTACGTTGTACTCACCCTTGCTTCAACCCCCTTTTCCAGAATTAAATTGAAGTTCTTGCCGAAGCCAGGAGTTCAATCATATAAGTTAGTCTTATTTTAACCTAGTTTTCAAATCTAGATTAGTTAGATGGTTTAAGTCTATAGCAAAACCTTAGAGTTGAGTCACTATATAACTTCTGCTGTAATAGTTAGCCACAGTCTTGTAAATTCCCCTATTATTTTATGTAATAACATCTTCTTTGGAGCCTTGTTTAAATGTACGCAATGAAGATCCAGATTGTTGAAGCTGTGTCAATCTACTGATCCAGGGCTTGATACAGTTAAACATGTCGATTTCCGAATCTTTAGTTTTGGGACCCGACATTGTTTGATGCAGGTTAAGCTTAATGGGCCAGACCACACTTGTTTTTCAGTTAATAAGTGTGGTGATACAATGGCTTCTAAGGGATGGATAGCTGATAGGGTGGTGGACTGGTTAAAGGAGAAACCCACATTGGGACCAAAGGAGTTGCAAGAGAAGGTCAATAAGAAGTATAAGATGGATGTCCCAAATTTCAGGGTTTTTAGGGCCAAGGAGAAGGCTATGGACATGATATATGGGAAGTGGGATGAGAGCTATGATCTATTGCCGACTTACAAAGAGGCACTTCTGAAGGCAATCCCTGGTAGTGTTGTTGAGTTGGACACTGAAGAGCATAATGGGGATGTTTGTTTCAAGAGATTCTTTGTAGCTCTTAAACCATGCATTGATGGTTTCCTGCAAGGATGTCGTCCTTACATTGCAATGGATTCAACTCACTTGACAGGAAGGTCAAGAGGTCAGTTGGCAGCTGCTGTTGCAGTCGATGGCCACGATTGGCTATTTCTAGTGGCCTATGGGGTGATTGAAATCGAGTCTAAGGAGAGTTGGACATGGTTTATTCAGAACTTGAAGCAAGCCATAGGTACTCCTACAGGATTGGTCATCAACACCGATGCAGGTATATTAACAAGTAATTTCTGTTTTGCATTCTTTTGTTCATGACTGTGATGTACACTTGTATCTCATGCCTTGTCATTTTGTTGTAACAGGCAAAGGGATAGAGGGAGCTGTAGATGATGTCTATCCAGGAGTGGAACACCGAGAGTGCATGAGACACTTGTGGAAGAACATGAAGAAGAAGTATCATGGCACATTGTTTTCTTAGAACATGTGGGGAGCTGCCAAGAGCTGCACATTTCAGAGGTATGAATACCACATGGACAAGATAAAGGAGAAGTGTCCTGATGCAATACAATGGTTGGATGAGAATCATCCATATGTTTGGAGTAGGAGCAATTTTTTTGAACTATGTAAGGTAGACTACATCAATAATAATCTTTCTGAATCATTCAACAGTTGGGTGTCAAAAACTAAGGACTTGCATATTGTGGATATGCATGAGAAAATAAGACATATGATTGTTGCAAAGTTTGACTTGAGAGCCAATATTGCTAGAAATATGGAGGGCAAGATAATCCCAGCCATTACCAAAGATCTTAATGCTCAGAGCAAGGCTATCAAGGACCATGAAGTTCTTAGATGTGGAGATGGCACCGCCGAGGTAACTGTATCCACCATTACACATGCAGTAAACTTGAATGAGAGAACTTGTAGTTGTAGGGCTTGGCAAATAAGTGGAAAGCCATGTAGCCATGCTTTAGCTTTCATTGCAAAGCTTAGCAGACAAGTACATATGGGTGATTTTGTGGATGAATGCTTCTCCGTTGAGAGGTTCAGGAAAGCATATGCAGGGTTATTCAACCCTATGACATCCAAGCATCTGTGGCCATTGGTTGATGTAGGCTACAAAATCAAGAAGCCCAAATTGAGGAGAAAACCAGGGAGACCAAGGGTCTCTAAGATGAAGGCTTCTGATGAGGTTGGCCAAAGGAAAAAAAGAAAATGCTCAGAGTGTCATGAATTGGGTCATACAGCTAAGTATTGCCAAGGAGGCCTTACAGCTAGTCAAAAGAGGAAAAAAGGCACTCAAGAGAGTAGCAGTGATGCACATGCATCTAAGTAAGTGAATTTTTCCTCACTTTAGTTCATCTATAACTTTTGCTCAAACTAACTTTCTTATGCTCCCATATACAGTGCAAGCGCAGGTGGATGTGAAGGGGAAGGGGATGGGGAAGGTACCATGAACGCACGAGGTGGACGTGCAAGTGGCAGGGGAAGGGGAAGAGCCAGAGGGAGGGCAAGTTCAAGTTCAAGTGGTGGTGGTGGTGGTGGTGGTGGAGGTGGAGGTGGAGGTAGAGGTGGTGCTGGTGGTGATGGTGGAGGTGGTGCTGGTGGTGATGGTGCTGGAGGTGGAGGTGGCAGGGGTAGGGGAAGAGCTAGAGGTGGTGGTGGTGATGGTGCTACTGGAGGTGGCAGGGGTAGGGGAAGAGCTAGAGGTGGTGGTGGTGATGGTGCTACTGGAGGTGGCAGAGGTAGGGGAAGAGGTAGGCTAGCTGCTTTGTTAGGCTGTTGATTGGATCATGTAATATGTGCCTACTATTTACTGCATTTTGTGTGATGTTGGACATGGCTTTGTGCCTCTATGTGATGTTGTTTTGGACCTAATGGTGCACTTTTGTGGGCCTTGGTGGTGTGTTTTTGTTGGCCTTATGTTGGACCTAGTAATGTGCATGTTGAACTGATGTATGTTGTCACATGCTTGGATATGAACTTGTTGGATTTGGCTATATGTTTATGCTATATTGAATGCACTTTGGAATCCACAAAATGAGAAGTTATGCTGTCAAAATTTTGTTTAATTCATTTTGTCAAAATTCTGACAACTTTTTAGTCAAATCTGTCAAAATGAATCATTTTTCTCAAATTTATGGCAAATCTGTCATAATTGTGATACATTTTATTTAATTTATTTTCATAAAATTCTGTCAAATTTAAGTCAAAATTTACAAAATGGTTCAAATTTGTCAAATTAATGCCAAATCTGTTACTTGAGCAAAAATTATTACAAACATTTCAACATTCTTGAATATATACACGGTATAACAAAATAGGGTCAAACAAGCAAACAAACAAGATAAAACAGGTCAAATAAGCAAGGGCAAAATGGACTATTTACCACAAAATTAACACCGTTACTTCATCCAAATGAAATAGGGTTAGACCGGACCTTCATACTCAAAAAGGAGGGTCAAATAAGCAAATCAAAAAGTAGGGTCAAATCGGCAATTACAGTTAAAAACAGGGTCAAATAAGCAATTGCCCCTTTCTTAAAAGAAGGGTTTGAGTTGGACAAGAAGGTTTCTAAATGTGAAGCAGAATAATATTTCAAATTCGATTTCTGTTCAATCAGGACTTTAAACTATTTTTATGGTGCATACAGAACTAAAATGTTTTCATCGCGCAAAAAAAAAAACTACTAAAATACCTAGTCATTCCTACGTGCTAACAGACCACAAACCCGGTTGATTACCAGGACATCTTCGTTTTTAGAGCTTGTTTGGAACGAAGCAACACAAAACATATGATAGGATAAAACATAGAAACAAAAAAACACATAAAACATATGATAGGATAGTAAGAATAAGAAACGAATGGCTGTGCAAAACATAGAAACAAAAAACACATAAAAAAATCATAAGAATTGGTATTTGGAACACAATAGCAGCTCGCTCCGGTCCTTTCTACTTGGAGTAGAAATTAATCTGAGCCGTTGATCGTATTTAATCGTAAGGTTGAGATCTAGTTCTACTCCCACCAAATTTTATGGGAGTAGAAATGTGGAGGGGTATATTTGTCTAGAGATAATAATTCGCGTGGAGGTATTATCATAATTTGCCATTATTTAACTGTTCACCCTCTCCCTATCCTATTCTAATCAACGCCATTCCCCTCCATCCCTCTCCTCCATCGCATGTTCCTCTCCATCCCCGTCTTTGTCGCTGGTCCTTCTCCCTCGCCGCCTCCGTCCCCTCCAGCGCCGTCGCCTTCCCTGGCCTCGCCGCCTTCTCTGCAGCAGCGTTTTCTTATAGGGTACAACGGACTTATAGCTACAAGCTGATCATAGAAGTGAATTTTGCTGCTGATGATATGGATCATGTTGTTATAGCTTACGCCCACCACGGGTTGTCGCCAGTCCTGAAGTCAGTCTCCACTCACACCCACGGCACGAAGAGAACCTTGTCGTCGTCGACGTCGGCGTGAACCAATGCCAGCGACTGTTTCAGACACAGAAATGCAGCCCAGCTCAGTTCAGTATGCAACATGTAAGCGCAGTTCATTATGCAACAGTTAAGCTCAATTCAGGAAGCAAAATTTCAGTAAAGATTTTGGAGGATCTTTTCATCAGCAAAGATCAAAAGTTCAGTGAGCCATATCAGATTGTTGCAATTCGGAAGATCTTTTTCATCAGCAAGAATGCGATATCAGAGTTAGGAAACTTACCAATGGAGCAGGTCCACCAACGACCCTGCCCTGGTCACATCATGACAAAAAAAAATCAGGGGAAGAGGAAGAGGAGGATGAGAAATTTTGGTAGTGATGCGGGCCAGCGTCGGGGGCTCGGGCGCAGTGCCGCCGGCCGCGTCGCCGCCTGCCGGGAGGAGGAGCAGAAACCGCGGTGATGCGTCGGGGGCGAGATGCGTTGCGGCAAACGGTCGAGATGATCATCCTATTCTAAAATTACCCCTAATCTGTATGAAGAGATTACTAATCTATCCTTTAACATAAACGGTCGAGATTAATTCTACTTGTAGTAGAATACTGCAAGTATATTGCACCGGAGCACTACTCTAATTCTTAATGTTTTGGATTTAAGATAAAAATAAAACTTTAAAATATTTAGTTTAAAAACATTAGAATATGGTATATAGAATAGTCTTATAACCTTATCTTTTCGCTTATGCTTATATCTATCAGCTAAAATTTAAATTTTCAACCTTAAATATGGAGTTGATTTTGAGTTTTTTCATTGTAATCTATTTTTCAGTGTTTGCTTTTAGATTGTTAAGAGCACATATATAAAAGTTTTATTTATAAATGATTTTTTATTTGTAAATATGCTGTTTTGCTTTTTCCTTCAATATACCAAACGATGGGATTGTTAAAATATAGACTGGAATTTAAGAGAGAAAAAGACGTCTCAGCTCCCACATTACACATGCCCTAATCAACAAGAAAGAGCAGAATAGAACCCAACTGAAAAAGAGAGATTCCCTTAAATAAAGAGGCTTTTTCAGAACTAATAAAGTCCTGGCTCAATGGGGCTCCAGTTGTCGCATATATTCGCCCTCGTTTCTCTTTTTTTTGTTTGACAACAGTTACGTTAATTGCTATCCTAATATGGAATATCGATAAATCACCATATATGCTTGACTTTTGATCTGTTTTGCCTTGTGAAGCAGAAAATCTTCTACTATAATATTACCGGGTGATTTCTTGTGATTATTTGTATGCCCGAGCGTGAGATGCATGGGAGTACTGGCTGATGGTATTTTTCTGTAATATTTGACTCTAGTAGAGTTTAGTGCCGCTCGTGTTTAATTAGTGGTATGGCGAAATTGATGCTCGTGTTGTGCTTCTTACTCTATCCACTAATTAAATTATGCAGTTCATCTGACACTAAATATTGAGCCCTGAAACAGATAAGGACACCTTTTCGCTTCGTCCTGTTGAAAAAAAAAAGTAAGATAAATAGACAGAAACCTGAATTTGATTAATGGATGTGTCCTTGTTATGATTTTCCTCCACCGTTTCAGTAGTGGTTATCACTATCTAGAGTGAAGTTTAAAAATTAAGATGGTTACTGCGATAACCGAGAGGTATTGATATATTTAGAAGTTAAACTTTTAAGATTTTTTCAAGTTGTTGGCACTTAGAATTCAAAAAAGGTCTTGACAATGGATATTGTGGGTTGGTTTGCCATTAGTACTAGCACAAACTTCTCTAGAAGTGTAGAACTTTGATAGAAAGTCCTATGCAACAGTCCTATTCACATTCTTAAACGGTTTAGCTTTTAGGTGTTGTGAACTTTTGACTTTTGCAATTTCTTGACTTATACCTTTCGTCGTACTCCAATAAAAAAGCAAATCTTGGAACATATCTCTCCAATAGAAAGATAAAAAGAAATGCCGTTTCATTTTAAGGTACGTGCAGTCAATACAAGTTAACTCGATCTCGTGTAATTTGCAATACAAGATTTGACAAAACGGTGCAACCAAAGCCATTCATATAAAAACTTTCATAATATTATTATTATGCTACTATAATTTTCAAAGCTATATCTTTGGAAGTCCAAAACAATTTTTTTTACCCTAGAGTGAGTACATTTTAATCAGCCAAAATCTATCATCTGAAATATAATTATTTTCCTCATAACCATATGATATTAATAGTGTACACATGTCACACACTTGTTTTGGCACACTTTGACACGGCTCAAACCAGCACATCCACTAATAATCGGATACCTTAATAATAATACTACATACATATGGGTTACAAAAACCCAAGCTACAATCCGATCCGTCCATCCTCCATCCGATGGCCGATAAGCCGTCCACGCGTCCACGGCAATCTCGCGATCCCTTGCTATATAATAATAATCCCCGGAAACCCCAGAAGGAGAAAAGAAAAAGATGGAAATAAAAGGAAGAGAGGAGGAGGAGGAGGAATAGCCGAGAAGCCACCACCGCCACCGGAGGAGGAGCTCTATTTATGCCCTCGCGGCGGCGCCTCCTCTCCCCGCACCCCCCCGCCTCGCCGCTCGCCACCGCGCCCCAGGTTAGCCCACCCCCACCCCCACCCCCCGAAGAACACCCCCCCCCCCCCCCCCCGCGCCGCGCTCTCGCCTTCTCGTTTGATGGATTGATTGCTTTTTTTTGTGGGATTTTTTATTTATTTATTTTTGGGGTGTAGAGGCTGGGAACTTCGAGGAGGAGCAGGATCCATGGAGGGTGGAGGCGCAAGAAATGGCTCGACGACCGGGGCGGCGCGGACAGGGGGGAGTGGGGGTGATGCTGCTGCTGGTGGTGGTGGTGGCTCCGCCGGGAACGGGAAGCCGCTGCCCCCTTGCTGCGTCAAGGCCAGGGCGGCGGCGCCTGAATCCGAGGCCAAGTGCCACGCCACCGTGGTGTCCGGATGGTTCACCGAGCCCCGCTCGCGCGGCGGTATGTGACGTTGTTGTTTCTTGATTCTTGATGATGACGATAGATGCTTTATGCCCTATTTTGGATGATGATGATGTTCGTTTGTCTGAATTTTGGTTTGTGCAGGTAAAACGAGCAAAGTGCAGTATTACAATAACCCGATGTGGCCAGGTATTTTTCACATGTTGTTATGTTCATAAATACTATTCTTATAGATACATGGTTTATTGTGTGTTAGCAAATTAAAAAAATTACTAGACTTCACTTGTTCTGTCTGGATACTTTTGTTTACCCCCAGTTTTTTTGTTTTTGTAATTTTCCCCTAAATCTTTTTTTTCATCTGTTGTTCTGTTGCCATCTCACTGTTAGATATAATCCAACAATTCCAATTAATCCTCACAGCTCTCATGATTTATTTTTGTACACAGGAGAGGCCCATTCACTGAAAGTTGAGAAGATCTTGTATCAGGGGAAGTCACCATACCAAGAAGTTTTAGTTTTTGAGGTTCTCAACTTCTCATCACCTATTGACAGCCAAAATAAAAAAAAAATCTAGTATTTATTATACTTTGTATTACAGTGTTGTGTGACCTGTTTTTTTTTTATGCAGTCCTCAACCTATGGAAAAGTTCTTGTCCTTGATGGTATTGTCCAGTTGACTGATAAGGATGAATGTGCGTACCAGGAAATGATTACTCACCTTCCGCTTTGCTCAATTCCATCCCCAAAGAAAGTAAGGACTCCATTTATTTTTTTTCCATTAGAGGTGAAATTAACACTTTTGACAGACTCGAAATTGATTGTCTTAAATTATTTTCTTCCTTTTATCCTTACTTCTATAGAAAATTTTAGTTTGGTCACTAATGTTCTTTGGACCTACCAAATTTCAGGTTTTGGTTATTGGAGGTGGTGATGGTGGAGTCCTTCGGGAGATATGTAGACATGGTTCTGTGGAGTCAATTGATATATGTGAAATTGATCAGCTAGTTATTGATGTAACAATTCTCCTTTGATATTTGAATAAATATATGTCATTGCACAACAAACTTTCCTGATATGCATCTTAATTATGTAGGTTTGTAAAGATTTCTTCCCAGATTTATCTGTTGGATTCAAAGATCCTCGTGTTCGGCTTCATGTTGGTGATGGTACGTTCACAATCAATATTACCTGTTTATAACTGTGAAAAAAATATATCCTATTTGCAATTTAGATGCACCTTTCAATTCTTTGGTTTGTAATTTTCATAACTGTCCTATTTTATTTCAGCTGTGGAGTTCTTAAGGAATGCTCCTGAAGGGACATATGATGCTATTATTGTCGATTCATCAGACCCGATTGGTGAGCTCATGCTGCTGTACCGTTACTTTTTTTTATTATAAAGCCTCAAAAACAATGGCTATTTATCTTTGTCGCTGAATGTCAGCTCGCTAGAATATTGTTCTTTTTTTTACTTCCCATGAAATTATTCCTGATCTCTTTAGTTTTTATAGCTTTTGCTATATCAATAGAAATTCTTATATGAACAAAAAACTGGTCTGATCATGTTTGACTTGAAAACTTCACCTACATTTTGTATTCCCATTTGATGGTAATGTTCTTACACTATCTGTTTTGGCATTATCTGTTGCAGGGCCTGCCCAGGAACTTGTGGAGAAGCCATTTTTTGACACAATCGCAAGAGCTTTGAGGCCTGGTGGTGTTCTTTGTAATCAGGCTGAGAGCATGTGGTTGCATACGCATCTTATCCAGGACATGCTTTCGATCTGCCGTGAGACATTCAAGGGTTCTGTCCACTATGCCTGGACGAGTGTCCCGACATATCCCAGGTTCTTCATTCGTTTCCATTTTCTCCTTCTGTCCATTTTCTGTATGCAAGCCAGGTTTTATGATTAGAAATTCTTTGATATGTTAACATTGCTTTTCTTTTATGCTATTACTGATTTTGGTATATGATGAGTTAAAAATGTCTTAGTTGTCAACCTCATTGTGTTCTACTCACGTTTATTTGGGTTTGTTCCTAACAGATGATACTGTTATCAGTGAACTGGCGGTACCACTGTTTCAGTTAGACAACGAACTGGTTAGACAGTTGGTTGCGATTCTTTTTATTGTGTATTAAGCTCATTGCTCCACTGTTTTAATATGGTGAAAGTGAAGCATTAAGCTGCATAAATCGCCTAGATGATGTTTTTCAAGTGGTAATTACTGGCTTGCCGCAATGTTTGGAGTTCACTTTTAACATACATTTATTCCTTTGCATTTGCAGTGGTGTGATTGGGTTTCTGCTATGTGCCAAAGAAGGTCCACCAGTCAACTTCCTGACTCCTGCAAATCCAATTGAAAAACTAGAAGGAGCTATGGAAGCAGGAAGGGATATTAGATTTTATAATTCAGAGGTTTGTTCTCTCTAAAGAATTACCTAGGAATCTTCAATTTCTATATCTTGTTTCAGTTTGTCTTATTTTTTTGGTCATGGTGTGCGGACTGTATTCCCAATAAAATTAATAAGGAATTTTACTTCTGAATTACATTTATCTGCTATGATTAACTTTGTCTTGTGTCATGGGAGTACTTCTATACGGCCGCCTTTCCTATTTTTTGAATGAACTGCTACCTAGTTGTTTGATCTTTAGTATTATTAGTCCTTATCCTATCAACACTTAAGCACACTCATTAATGATTTTTGCTGCTGATCAGATGCATAGAGCCGCATTTGTTCTCCCAACCTTTGCAAGGAGAGAGCTAGAGGCGTATTGTACTACCGTTGAAAGGGTAAGTTGCTTCAAATCCTGGTAACTTGTAAAGCCACATTTATTTTCTTTTATAATCAATTTTGCTGTGATGGCCATCACTTGCCACCCGAACTCAGAGCCGTTAACTGTAGTCATGATGAATATGCATTCAGAATTGTTTTCCAGACTGTTCCTTACCTTTTTTGTTAGAAAGTTTATAACCTTCTTTTAGAACATCCAGACTGTTCCTTACTGTTGCAGAATCTATTCTGTTTAGGTTGGATTTCATATAATATAGGCAAAATAGTTGTTGGTCTATATTCTGTGGAAGATAGGAGATTAAAATTTACTAATGTACTGATGTTAGAGTCACCATGAAGTTGTGCTTACCATTACAGGAACAACAAGAAGAAACAACGGCCGAGCCTCTGAAGATGAACATTATGCCGAACAGTGAAATTCTTACTGCTTCCTAGATCAGGGTTTTTGCCTGCTCACATCATTGGATAATCAAGAAACCATTCCTTCACCTTACAGCGTTGGACTTGACCTAGTATTGTATTATTATTAAATACAGTAGCATGTAGCGATTGCATTAAGCAGTGGACTGCATTACGACCAACGCATCACCGAGGCTTACGGCTTGTAATCCATATTGTAGACTGTTGAAATGAGTGAGGCTTAATAATAAAAAAGGAGAGATGAGGATCTGACAGGATTGTGACACGTATTATAACCTTATATGTAACATAATCAATTTGCTGCTTGTTGTTACAGCTTTGTTTAACCGCCAGGTTGTGTTTGTGATTTGCAGTTGGTCTAGAGCATGATTTTTTTTTTGTTTTATCCACGTCGTTGTAAGATTCTTTTCACGTGCTGACGTTCTGATAGCTTGTCATTACTGGAGCACTGCTGATTTGTTTACCCATTTGCCGTAACAAATCACGTTGACCACGAGCCACCATCCTTGCTACCTGTTCTAAATTGGATCGATAAAAATACAAGTTCGATTGAAGCACGTGTTTCTAACTTTCTATACGTATAATAATTCTCGACATCTTTTTTTTTAAAAATAACCAGCTCAACAAATATTAGTTTTCGTTCCAAAGTTTGTCTGTAATACAATTCTCCAAAGTCTAGTATGCTGGAAATTTGGTACTCCTTCCGTACTCGTAAAGGAAGTCGTTTAGTCGTTTAGGACAGCGACACGGTCTCTAAAACATAACTTTAACTTCTTGTTTCTATAAAAATATTTATTGAAAAGTGATATATGTATACTTTTATGAAAGTATTTTTCAAGACAAATCTATTCATATAATTTTTACATTTTCAAACTCAACAACTTGAGAGTTATTCATGATTTATATTTCCAAGGTTTGACTTAAACATTGTCCTAAACGACTTCCTTTACGAGTATGGAGAGAGTACTAATTTGATTTGACCCATTTCTGAGCTCAGATTCAAATAATTTAAAATGGGGATAAGTTCATTTTGACTCCCTCGAATATATGTCAAATCTAATTTTGTATCCCTCATATATATTAACCCTCTAACTAATAAAATCGATGTAATTTGATTCCCTCGTCTGTTTTGTATGCGGTTTTCACTAACATTGCTTGTTTACTTGGTTTAACCGGATGAATCAGCATGTGAGGCATTCATCTCAGTGACCCTACGTTTCTCCTCCCTCCCCTTTTCCCACAGCGCCACAGGTTGCACCACGCTGCCACCCACACGTTCCAGTTCAAGTTGAGGCTGAAGGGAGGGAGTGTGCGGCGGCGTTTGGTGAGCTCAAGTTCTCTTCCTCAGGCGTCTCTGCAGTCAGCACCAGTGCGGGCAGATCGAGCGGCGAGGCCTCAAGGCATAGTAGAGAGCCCGGGTGGCGATGGATATGAACACTGACCAGCAAAGAAGCGACACAACGATGGCGCTTGGACTCAGGGGGAAAAAAAGGCGAGGACGGGAGACGTAAAGGCTTGCAGGTGGATGTGGCAGACACCAGCGGGTTGACGCTGCTGCGCGTGATGGTAGGGAACCGGAGCTTGGGGTCACCGTTCCTAGTTTATAGTGAGTAGGTGAATCCTAATTCACCACTGCTCAATTTGCTTCAAATTTTCTTCTTATTTGTACCAGCATTGTTTCTCTTTTCAATTCTAGATGGTTAATTTGGAGAAGAAGAGTCGCACACCTCGCCGGTTCTCGAGCCGCTGCTTGCAACCCCATCCGAGCCAGCAACTTTGTCCTAGCTCATGCAGATTTGGGCTCGTCCGCCGGGCGTTGTTGCTCCTCGCCACACTCGAGCTCGTTTGGCCATGTAGGGGAAGGATGCTCCTTGTCGCTTGATGTCATCGCACCGCCGTCCATCCGTGGACAAAGAGAGGAGTCGCTTATGTGTGGGTCCCACGTGCTGATTCAGCCGGTTGAACCAGCTCAACAAGACACATAAGTGAAAACTGCCTACAGAAGAAGAGTCGAATTACACGATTTTTAATAGCTAGGGGGGTTGTAAAGATGTGGTTGAGGAATACGAGTTAGATTATAACCATATATGTGGGACACAATGTGGACTTTATACTTTAAAAGGCCTCAAAACTATCAATTCCAGCCCATGGGCCGAACCCTGTTGTGTTGTGGGCCCACCTCTCCAGGTTTGGTATCATGCATGATGCTTGTAGGCCAGCCTCCAGTTTCCTAGTATGTAATGTACCTTCTTTGAGGCATTTGCTGGTGCATTTCCAGATCTGTAACAGAGAGAGTGTGCAAATGTCACTCTGCTATAGGCTGATATCTGCGGTCATGTTGAAAATAGGTAAATGGTGATAACTGACAACTGCTTGTTTACTGGGTTGTTTTTGTGTTCTCCAGAAGATGTGGTTAGCTCCAATTTCTCTATCACCATATCGTGTACCTTCCATTTACTTTGTATCAGAGCAAAGTTTAAAAAAATGAATTTACTGTGTTGCACTACTGCATTTTTGTCATCTCTCGGGTTCTAAGTCTTAACCACTAATATCAAACTTGCTGACGGTGCTTTCCACCATATACGAATACAGTGTGTAGCATCTGCATTCCAAGAAGGACCTTACTCTATTCATTCTGTCCATCTGCATTTCTGATGTGAGGCATTTTATTTGTCTCACTCTCTTTTTTCCCCCTTTCTGACAGTGCTTTTGTGATATCAGGGAGATTGCGATGCACTAGCTACCGCTCTTGTCTCCACACCATGCTCTTGTGGCTAAGGGATGAAGATATGGGTGGAAGGGAATCAAGACGCACATATCATAGTTTATCTGCAAGAGAGACTCCAGTCTCATTCTTTGTGCTACTGTGGAGCCCAAGGTTTGATGCCTCCTTGTCTTCCTCCTTGTAATGTAGCACCAGAAATGTCATCCTCTTGCTTGCTATGCTATCATGCAGGCCAAATTGCAGAGCTCTAATCATAACACGCAATGATGAAACACCACCTGGTTCATGCTTAATTATCGTCGTCCTCACGTCCATCTTAAACAAATGCTCATATTCGGCTCGCCAAGTTGGAGATAACTAAAAATTAAGAACTTTCAGCCTTGCTGATCCATGGCTTTTGTAGCTACTAAGAATTAAAAAACTTTCTGCCTTGCTGATCCATGGCTTTTGTAGCTGTAGCTGCAGCTGCAGCAGCAGCAGCTTGGGATTCCATTTCAATGGTTGCTGCCGTTTCGTACCATCTCGTCCCTGTCCGTCCTCTCTCAGGTACTTTACTCGTGCAACATTAAGTTAATGCTACACTGATGGCAGATGAGATGAAGATGCCTATGACTTGTTTATTCCAAGATGATGATGATCAACGATCATGACACACCTGCTTAGCCTATAATTTTCAGTCCTCTCAACATTTTGACAGGAACTCAGAGTTGCATCAGCCTGATGCTAGCCCCATGTCAGCTGGGAAACACTGCTGACTTGTCTGAATCTAGCCACACGCAGCTGCGGACGACGGCGAGCCGCCGCTACGTGACATGCCGGTCGCCCTCCCCGGTGAGGACTATCCTGACCGCCGTCGTCGTCGTCGTTGCCCTCCTCCTCCTCCGGCTGCACACCACCTGTGAACGAAGAAGGCGGCTTGCACTTGCACATGCACAATTTACAGCCCTGGCCTGACCATGACAGGTTTCTAACCATCCAAATCAATCCTGCTGAGAAATTTTCTGATTTTTCCTTTTCTTTTCGTCGTCTTCAGCAGCGACGAGCGAGCCGCCGACGACGAACGTTTCATGGAGCGTGATACTGTTTGGAGCACGTAGCGTAAGAGTTTTGTTTTTATGTGAAGCATTTTCATATGTTAAATCATATGATTTTTATATAGGGAGGTGTTGTGTGCTGGTTTTGTATCTGAGCGTACGTAGTATTGGCCTTGTTCTTGGAAGGTTGGTGGTATGTGCCGTATTGGAACGGGTTCACTGAGTGAGAGAGAGGGACAAGTTTGTTTTTTTGGTGGATTTTTGGGATGTGGTGCCGACTGATTGGATATCAGGAATAGTTTTTCTCCCCTCTTGCTACAGTCCTGTAAATAGATAATCAGATTACTTATACCGACTTAGAGGTGAACCTTCCCCACTTTTTCTTCTTTTATTCTGAGTTAAGTTTGCTTGAGATCGGCGTGACATCCTTTATGTCGTTGTAACTAAAACTTTATTTTCCTCAATCTTAATGAAATTGGCTGGTAAATGTTTGGTCAACCCGGTAAAAAATACTTATACCGACTTATACCTCAATAGCATCCTTAGGATCAAGTGATCAACCAGTGGCGAACCCAGAGTCCGGCAGCCATAGGCAGCCACTGCCCTGGGCTCGCCGGCGCACGACAAGAGGGTGGAAACCACCAAATTGTAGGTTTTGTCCAAGCTTGAAAAGAAGAAATCAAATCTACTACTAGCACTCTGATCTTCATGGATGGTTGATTGGACTTACTCTGTACTCCACCAAGTAAATGAGATCAAATGGAGTATTGCTTAGGCATCATATAATGATGAATAAAAAACATCACGAGGAATAAATAGTTTGAATCAACGCAACCAAATAGACGGTGTGCAGCCATTTTCCTCTCGTAGAATCGATACTCCCATGTCCCATTCACTAAGGCGCGATTAAATTTGATATAATTTTTAAAACTAATCTCACAACAAAATCATAATTTAAATGACAATCTAATAGTATTTTTTTCAGTAAAATAATATTTAGTTATAATAAATTATTTATTAATTAAATATTTAAAGAGTTGAATATTAAAATACTTGCTACCTCTGTCCTACAAAGATCGTAGTTTTGTATTGTTTATGTCTAACGTTTGACCGTCTGTCTTATTTAAAAATTTTTCATGACCAATATTTTATTTATTATTATATGGTAAAACATGGATAACAATATACTCATGTGACTAATTTTTTTAATTTTATTTATAAATTTTTTAAATAAAATGTACTGTCAATTAAACGTTGGACACGGAAACTCACGGCTGCATTTAAAATGGGCCAAAGATAGTACTCCCTCCATCTACTTATGATAGTCATATTTCATCTTGGCACATAGACCAAGGATAAATAATTCTACTTATTATCTATTTAAACATGCTACTAATTATTCCTCGTAAACAAGCGATTTATTAATATTTACATTTCCCGATGCCCAAGTAGCCAATCTTGTGTGGAAGAATGGTGAGTCACGCATTAAATCCGAAAAAGTCAGATTGTTGGATTGAAATATGCCTCTCAAAAATAAATTTTTCAGATTTGTAAATATGCCTATCAAAAATAGATGGAGGGAGTATCAAATGGGACGGAGTGAGTACTATTTGACGGACACTTGTTGCTTGGGTTTTGATCCAGTGGACACATAAGCGCGAGCGAGATGTGTCACTGTGCATGCATCATGCAGGCTTCATCATTACGTCGCCAAAGAGTCAAGTCATGGTTAACGACAATTTATTATGGTAAAGTACCCATCTAGTTACAAATTAACTACTTAGATCAGTTCCTTTTAAAAAAAAACTTCTTAGATCAGTAGTACTAGAGGTGCCAAAATCTCCATCAGTCGATGCTCAATATTGGTATGGATGATTCGGTCAAATGCATTCATTTTGACGTATCATTATCAACATATCATAGCTTAATTGGATGAAGTGAAATTAAACTAGTTTCTTCTATCCGTACTACTTAAAAGAGAAGAGTCGTGTCTCCACTTCACTTAAAAACCTCTTTCCTCTAAAAATATCCACCCTGAAAAACCAATTTCTCAAAAAAAACCAGCCATTTTTAAAAAAGCCGAACAACCCATTAACACAAATCCTCCCACTAAACTTTATAAAATAACTGTTGTAACGCGCGGACCTATAACTAATGAAATTAAAAAAGCACCATGAATATCATGTATACACGTGGAAGCTTTCAATAATAATTTAGTGAAGCTAAAAAATTTGTTGCTGGTCTCCATCTCTTGAATGTGTATTAAGAGACGCACTCATAGATGTGTGGATGGTGTGCGTGTGTAGGAGTGTGTGTGAGCGCATCTTCTTTGTAAATTGTAACTAAAAAACATTCTCTAGTAATTACTTTTTTCATCATTTAAGCTCAGAAAAAAATCACCGATTTTTATTTTGGAAATTAAATTAAATATTGTGTTGAACTGAGTCCAACTCAATTCTTCCTTCGGCGAAGCAACCATGAAAAATTAACCACTTGCACTCGTACGTGCGAATTGAGCTGTTCTACTCGATGCCAAATTAAATGTGAGGGCGACAAGAGTCAATTGCTTGTGCACGCTGGTTCGAAAGAGAAAGCACGAAGAAAGAAAGAAAAAAAAGAGCTTACAAAACAGAAAAGCAAGTTGTCGTCGCATGTAACCGTCACAAACATGAACGCTCATGCACTTTGCATGCATATATGAAACCGTGTGCATCTGAAATTCTGAATGTCCTTCCTACCTTCCTCTCTAATTTTCATGTTCAAAATAATGGATTTGACTTTAAGGGTACCTTTGAAACGCAAGTTTGAGAAAACATAGAAATTAAAATAACATAGAAATAAAATACCATATTTATTGGATTCTTATGGATTTTGAAACAAAGGAAGTCTTCAAACTATCATTTGATTAGCACATAGAAAAAATGTTGGAATTTTAGACATATGAAGAGGAAAACACGAGGTAAGACATCATGCTTATTTTCCTCCAAAATTGCTATAGCAAGATCCATTTCATAAGAATTTCAAAGAAATTGGTAGGAATCCTTTGTTTCAAAGAACTCTTTAGGATCATTTTTCGTAGGATAAAATCTTTTAGAATTCCTATGGTTTTTCCTTTGTTTCAAAGGGAGCCTTAAAGAATTGCAGGATGCTCACTGAAATCAGTTTATTTCCAATATAAATTGCAAAAGTTTATGGAATATCAGGGTTGTAATATTGACAGCTGCAACAAAGTGGAGTGTTTTCTGCAAATATTTATGACAATTTTCCTACGATTATCTGCGATTAGGCAATTGGGATTAAATTGTACTTGTTTATAATTATTCTCTCTGGTTTTGAATGTTTGACACCATTGAGTTTTAAATAAGCAATTGGATTTAACTGTACTTCTTTATAATTATTCCTTCCGGTTTTTAATGTTTGACGCCGTTGAGTTTTGGACATGTATTCATTTGATCATTCATCTTATTTAGAATTTTGTGCAAATATACAAAATATAAATCATTCTTATACTTTCAGTTATGAAATAAAATGCAATAAAATAAATGATAAAACATATTTTTTTAATAAGATGAATAGTCTAACATATATATACCCAATTAACTTATAAAGTTAACAACGTCAAACATTAAAAACTGGAGAGAGTAGTATTTTCTCAACATATACCAGTAAGTTTTTTAGGGTACGTAGTAACGTATACCAGTAATAGTTCTTCTTGTGTAATCGGATTAAAAAGCTTCTTAAATTCATGTCCTGCATTAAAAAAAATATAACAATTTGTTCGGAAAAGTACGTGTGTACCACATCTATATATATCAATATTTTTTCTGTAAATATATATGTGAGGCTGTCGTACGAATGAAAATTCTTGACCATATCCAATCATACCAAATACTCTGATAATAAAATAAATCGGATAATAACTTCATTTTCTGCTTTGACACCCCTAACAAAAACGAAAGGGCCACTCTACACTACATCCACATATTAATTAAAGCACTAGAAAAGCTAGTATATTTGTTTGCAGCTCCTAATCCAAGGACCTGAGTGAAGGATCGAGTCTATGGCTTGGCTTTTTCGTCATCTTTAGTCGTCGCACGTCTCTAGCCACACATCGTTTCAGGCTCTAATGTCTAATCAGTTGGTTCTAAGCTAGTCTTGTAGTACAGTATATGTAAAACTGTTTTTGCGTGTGATTATGATATACTCCTTTCATTTTAAAATATAGGAACCTAGCTAGTGTGAGACGAGATGTATCTTAACACGAATCTCGATAGATATATCCAAATTTATAGTATTAGAATATGTATACTATCATTTGCTAAGTTGCTATATTTAAGGAAGGAAAAGTAGTTTTCATCACCTCACCATGATTCTTTCATCCACCAAGTAAATTAATCAGGGCATGCAAACAAGGTTTCTTGTGGGATTTTACAGTTGTTTTAATTTGCTATTTCGAAATAATCTATATATAATTAAGATAGCTAAAAAAGGCACCAATTCGGAAAGAAATTTGGATGGCTCGAAACTACATAAGAGAAAAGGTTTTGGCAGTTAGATTACGGTAGATTGTAGCGGTATAGAAATGGTTGTGTACATAATACAATTGTATCTATTCATCAAGAACAAAAGCTAAAAGATGTCACCGAATTCAGTTCTACTTTTATAACATGTATATAAATAATATAATTACATCTATATAGAAAAATGAGATAAGAGTTATATCAGATCCAACCTACCTTTTAAAATCAAGATTTGCACAAAATTGCGTGGGAAAACATACTAGTTTGTCATAATGAAACTACTATTTCAACATGAACTAAATTAATTGAATCAAGAGCCGTTGTATTGTTTGTTGCGGCTATGATAATATGATTCACATAATTGGCGATTTGATTTTTCTAGTTAATATAGAAATTTTCTGAAAGTGCCTAATTAATATTGAAGTTAGATATAGATGGACTCCACTATAATTCTTTGCGTATTAAATTTCTTAACTAATTAGGAATCATGAATATGTACTAATGAGAAATTTAATGCTTTATTTAGATATAAAAACGAATCATAAGACATCTTTAATGTGACAATGAAATTAGCCTTTGAAAAAAGTATCGCACATGCATACATTTCTGTAGTCTTACTTTTAAGAAATGACTAATTTGTGATATTATTGACATGTGATAGCTCTATGCGAACACCCAAAATCTGTTGGTAAATCTAAACATAACATGTACCTATTTTAGATTTATTGTTACCAAATATTGTTTATATATGTATATGTTGTTTTTGTCAATTATGTAATTACATGAATCCAATTTTTAATTGTAAAGGGACTCATGGTTGGGATTCAAATATTTAAATCGGGTATACACTTGATTTAGACGAGTACAAAACTTTTGAGACTTTTTGTATGAATATTAACTTGTTTATAATTAGTTCAAACAATTTTGAACTGAATTCGAACTTATATATGCATTTTTTTCTTAAATTTTGTTTCTAGCTAGGCATATGCCATAGAAACATATAAATAGCTAGGCATGTGATTATTTGGGATAGTAAAATAAATAATATGAATTTGAGTTGCTTTGTTATAAGATATGGGTATCAATAAAAAAATTACACTTAGGCTTATACCTTTAAGTTGGAACTTTTTTTAAAAAGTTGAATTGATTTATTTTCAAATCGAAGGCCCGGGCATCATGAAATCAATATTATTTGGAGTATATAAACCTTCTGAATCAAAATCTAATATACATGCGTATTTGAGATCTATCGCTGCAGGGCACCACATGTGGAAACATGCACATAGCGCCATTTTGTGTGTTTTTTTTAGAACAACCATTTTGGGTTGTTACGTACTAAAATATGCCCTAAGAATCAATTACTATCATGCAACTTTAATATAGTATTTGCCTAGAGTTTTGGTTGGAGCCATTTTTTTACCAAATCAATGTGATACTTAATTATTTTACTAAATTATTAATAGTGCCAAAACTCTTTTATTTGCAACACAATTTACCTAATTATTTTGACACTACTAATATTTTGACAGGGTGTAAAGAACTAAAATAGCCCAATGTATACACGAGATAAGTACATATATACTCCCTCTGTTTCAAAATAAATTTATTTCAACTGTTTTTTCTCAACCAATCACAATATTCTTCTAACTATTCTCACTTAATTTTTTAATATGTACGTCTAACTTTTAAAAAAAATACTTACATTTTAAAGAAAGAGGAAGTACTCCATACTACTTACAGTGTTTTATTTCACGTCGACGTTGTGCTAGCTGTCTTCCTTTTTCAGAACAGGTACGTACGTACGTAGGCATCGATCCAGCTCAGCTTTAATTTAAGGTCGCATATATGAACCTATATTATTTATCTAGATAGAGAACTTTAGCAAAATCAACACATATACGTACATACACACGAATGGGAATAATGGAATCTTCTTTGTGCTCGACGATCGTACGTGCCGGTGGATCGACTGCGAGAGATTTTGCAGAGATCGATCGAGTTGGTGTGCATGCATGAATGATCGATCGATCGATGATGGATGGTTGCGAGATCACGTGCAGCGGCATTCGTCTAAAAAAAGTTGGTGCGTACGTAGTAGGTGCTTCCCTCGTTTCATAAAAACAAACCTACTATATAAAATATGACGCATTGTAGTATTTCAAATCTGTACCGTTTGCATTTATTGTATTAGAATGCGTTATATTTCATATTTAATTTATTTTTTTAAAGACGAAGGGAGTAGATAGGTGTTGCTGGTGGTACTGATTTGATGCGTCTCTGTGTTGTTTTTGGAATGTTGTTTGCGCAGAGGAGGATGCGTCCCGGTTTTGTATCTTGTGAATGTTCTTTTTCGTGCGTTGCTTTTGGAATCATGCGTGTACACACATGTCATTAGTTGTCTGTGATATCTCATGTGACAAGTGTACCTTAAAATATGATTGGAACTAATTTCGATCCGGAAAAACCAGAAGGAAAAATTCTTATTCCTTCTCACTCACTACCGCGGAAATCTCCAAAAAGAATCATGATTTTCACACGATTTTCGTAGAAATGCTAGCAACCACCACTATACATCCCGTGAGTGCAACTCGATCGGTTTTTTACTTTTACAATGAGCACATCCACAACATATATACTACCCCCATTTTTTTAATGTACAACTTCATTGATTTTTTTATAAAATGTTGGACCATTCGTCTTATTTAAAATTTTTATGTAAATATAAAAAAAATTAAATCATGTTTAAAGAATATTTGACGATAAATCAAGTCATAAGAAAATAAATAATAATTACATAAATTTTTTATAAAACGAATGATTAAATGTATCTTAAAAACATCAACGATGTCATATATTAAAAAATAGAGGAAGTAGCTAGCTAGGCAGCAGTAGCAGAGCAACAAAGGAAGCTAAACTCAAGCTACGTTGTCATGTTAGATCACGGCATCAACGAAAGTATCTATTTCTAAAATAAGTTCTTTCATAAATATATTTATAAAACAAATTTTTGAAAAAGACCAAAAATTGAAAAATTCCAGAGGTACGTGATCAGTGATCGAGATGCACCAAACCAACCCAAAGCAACCCATCCATCGTCGCCAGTCCCCCACCATGTGCCCCTAGACAGCGACTCTTTCGGATTTATTACCGCTTGATTGCCACACAAATTTTGACAATACGACCCTTTACAAAAACTAATTTTACAAATGAACTGTCATCAAAACTTATTTAAAAAATTACCATTTTGTTCAGCGCCAAATCATATGGCACTAAACTTAGACACCTCAGCGCTAAATAGCACGACGCTGAATGTACATTGGCACGCTGACTCAGCCTCCTATTCACGGTGGCACGACATTCAGCGCCAGTTGACGTGGCGCTGAGGTGTCTAAGTTCAGCGCTATACGATTTTGCGCTGAACAAAAGGTTATTTTTGAAATAAGTTTTGGCGACGGTTCATTTGTAATATTAGTTTTTTCAAAGGGTTAAATTGTCAAAATTTGTGTGATTGCCATCTCCTTCGCCATTGGAGCTCACCACACACTCGCTACCCTACTTCTTCTGTTCGTTAAATATATACTCCTCCACCACCTCACTCCCTCGCCTTCTCATTCACCAACCCAGCAAAGCTCGATCGACCACGTGATCGAGCTCGATCTGCTCGCCGCCGGCGGTGACCATCAGCCATGGGCAACTGCCTGCAGAGCGGCGGCGGCGGCGCGGCGGCGTTGGGAGACGGGAAGATGAGCATGAGGAGGAGAGTCTGCGGCGGCGGTGGTGGTGGGGAGGAGGAAGACGAGGCTGCAGGGTCGTCGTCGTCGTCGTCGGTGATGAAGGTGAAGATGGTGCTGACGAAAGCCGAGCTGGAGTGGCTCATGGCGCAGCTCAAGGCCGGCGACCGCCGCCTCGAGGACGTGCTCCAGGAGATGGCCCGCAAGCGCAACCGCGGCCTCCTCACCACCGCCGCCGCCGCCGGTGACGCCTGCGCCGCCTGCGCCGCCGGCGCCGGAGGAGGCGACGGCGCCGACGGGTGCTGGCGGCCCAGCCTGGAGAGCATCGTCGAGGGCCCCGAGATGAGCTCCTTCAGCTTCGACTACTGAACTGATCGCCAGTGTGTCAAAGAGCTAGAGCCTTGTTAATTACGTTAATTACCTTGCTAATTACGTTTAGAGCACGGTAATTTTTCTTGTTAGCAGTGCATGGCCGTCTTTGCTTGCCATGGATGAATCATGAATGGGATGATCAGGGAAGGATAAATTTAACTCTTGTCCTAATGGCTAGAGTTATGAGTTACTACTTGGAGTTGTAGCTAGGGGTAATTAATCTAGGTCGGCTCCTTGCTGCTTTTGAGTTAATCTTTGCTTAACTTTTTTTTTCATTTTTGTATATACAGTGTACTATCTCTGAGAAGTAGTAGAAATACTCTTGTAGTCTTGTATACTTTATTACTTGTATGCTCTTTCTAGTTCTTCTTCTTTGATAATTCTAGCTCTCTGCTAATTGCAACTCTCTTTTGTAATTTTTTTTTCCTCTTGCCTAATTAATTCTGGAGTTCTTTTGCTGCTACTGTTGTGTCATCTCCAACTCTGTTTTTGCTACTCTGCTCCCAGCTTCCATGAACTTTTCTTTTTTTTCACCACTATTTGGCACAAAGAAAGAAGCCCATTTGCTCGCTTTTGTCAGTGCTTTTCTTTCTTAGGGTATATTTAGTTCACACCAAAATTAAAAGTTTAATTGAAATTAAAACGATGTGACGAAAAAATTGGAAGTTTATATGTGTAGAAAAGTTTTGATGTGATAGAAAAGTTAAAAGTTTAAAGAAAAAAGTTGGGAACTAAACCAGACCTAAGTTCTAAAGTTAGGGTGGTAGAACTTTACAACGTTAAGTTCTACCATCCTAACTAAAAATACTGTCAAATCACAAGAGTGAGCTTTTTCTAACTGCACCAATGAAAAAGTCTGAAAACAGTTAAAGAAGTTTCTACTTACTGCCTGTTCTTCACCGACAGAGTAGCAAGGCCAGCTCCGTCAAATAATTGAAGGCGAAATTTCGATGTGGACTTCGTGCAGGCATGTAATTAACCTCGAGTTGATTCATGCAGCCGACTAATTAATTAATCACCAGGATTAATTAAGTCTCAGCGTCGAAAGACTAACTAATCTGACTGTTTGACAGGGGCAGCTTTGGTCAGCACCTTGACTAAGCAGTCGGACTGAATTAGCAGGCAATTAGATCAGTCCCAATACAAGACACTACACTTAGTTTTCATAAACTCAACATCATAGACACTATTATTTCAATACAAACATCACTCTTTCATACTTAAATTTGATGTTACTTATCTCACATAATGTATTGGATGTTGTGTAGAAACCATGTCTCATGTAAGACCTGGTTTCCTTCTCTTTTCTCATCTATTTACTTGCCACATCATTTTTCATTTTAGGTGACAGCTTATTTAATTGTTATGGATATCATTCTAGTTATTGGGTTGAGGATGGTCTTAGTAGTTACTACTAATTAATTAACTTCAACCGAAGCTTTAATTAATTCATGTTTGGTGCAACACAGACAGGTTCACTAGTTCAGTTTGACAAATGACTAGAAAAGCCAGGTCGCATCAGTTGGGGTAGTTTCGTGGCAGAAGAAACCAAGTTGCAAAGTTCCTACTATTCCAGTGCAGAAGAAGCATAGTGAGCTTTTGTTTTTGTTTTTTTTCCTGTTCAGCCAGCTGAGAAAGCAAAAGTAGTAATACTTGAAATTAACGCAAACGAGTTTCTTTGGAGAAGGGGGCCCTTCCTCACATGTGCTGCACTAGCTTAGCCTTTTGGACCAAATTCGATATATCGTCGATCTAACTAGACAAAGATCATTCTGTGCATGTGATGAAATCTCGAATAATCCATGAAGCTAGCTGCTGTAATTAATTAGAGCTGGCCTAAACTGGACCGTAGTTACGGTGACCTCATGAGAAATTATGTAATTTTTCATGAGGCTGTGTCCGCCGTTGATACTCATGTTCCGACCGGCCGCCGGCCGCCGACCACCGCTCGCCGGCGGCGCTGGCGGGGGTGGCGGCTGTCACCCTGCTGCACGCGTCGTGCTATGGCGGCCGCCGGCAGGGCCGGTCCTATGATTTTGAGGATCCTAGATAAACTTATTGTGGTGGGCCTTCTAAGCTATATATAAAATTTTATGATATATGTAGACGCTAATTTTACTTGTAAAACGAAAACAAATACATGACCGTTTACTTATAAAATTTCATCGCGATATGCTAATTTTACTTCGTATCTCGGACATTTCTACTTCCAGATAGACCGTAAGCAAGTACTACTAGACAACTCAACTAGTATTAAGTGTTGGCCCCCACCATTATGGGCCCCTGACGATCGCCTCGGCTGCATAGGCGCCGGCCCTGGCGGCCGGCCGGCTATGACACGAGCTTCATGGGCAGGCGGCAGCATGCAGCAGCAGAGCATGGGCATGCACACCACCAGATAGGCAAGGAGGAGGACGATGCTGCCCACCTTACGTCCATGGTGCGGCGGCGCTCCGGCGAGGCACAGCGTGAAACGGCGGCGGCGTTCCATGGTTTCCCTTTTGGGTGTACCATCCGTTCGATGAGGCCGTGCGGCCCGGATTAACTGCTGAACGGTGGTGTGTCCAGTCTTGGATGTTGTCGGGCCAATTAGATTCTACTCAGGCTAGGCTGAGATGGAATAAGTTCACTTCTGGTCGTTCAAATTTGTCGCCGAGTCTGGCATTCGTCCCTCAACCGTAATACCAGATATGAAGGGCCTGTTTGGCACAGCTCTAGTCAGGGGCGGATCTAGCAGGAAGTAATAGGAGGGGGGCGAGGGGCGGAACAAACCGTACAAAACTATAACCCACTCTTCTAATGAATGTATGGCATAAAATTTTAGGAGAGAATTTATTCTGTACCATTGAGCTTATCTCCGTTCAATGATTGCCACCAACATTCTCTCTTTCACAAAAAGTTGTCAACAAATTATTCCACAATATGCCATTGAGATGTGCTTCTTTAAAAAAAACCCAAAATACCCTTAGAGACATATATGATCAACAATTAATTTATCTCATTAGAAAGTTTCAAAAAATATGATTTTTTTTATATGGCATCCTTAAACAACGGAGAAGTATGTACATAAGTTTCAATTTTCTTTTGGTATTTTTGTTTTTTAGAACAAAATTTTTTTTGCGTGGTATATCAGAGAGAAATAGCTTACACAAAAGATAATAGTAAAAAAATATCTTATGTTGCATATGAAAGATAATTCACATAAAAAACAACAGCACACAAATATTTTATATAGCATATAACAAATAAGTTATATTTTAAAAAAATAGAAATGCAAAAAAATTGAAACTTATATACAAACTTTTACACTGTGTAAAGAGGCCACATAACTAAAGTATATGATTTGCTCCCCCTAGATGTATGCATACAAAATGTTTGTGTGAATCAAGAGTATGCATAAAAAGAATGAAACATTAGGAGCTTATCATATACAAGAATAGAATGCATTAAAATAAATGTATACCTTCATCATCTTCATGTTCTCAATGTAAAGAGACTAAACAAGAGAAAAGACTCAAATAAAACATTAGTCTCACATGTATATTGTTATTCACATGAAAATATTATATATGAACATATCAATATGTACATGGAGAGAAAAAGTAATACATGCAGCTTGATCTCCATGCATTTCATCCTTGTGATTTATATCCACCAACACTCCACTTTCATATCTACACGAGACTAGGCAAAGAAATGCTTATAAAAATATTAGTCTTACATAATTGGATTTGTCATTAATCATCAAAACCAAATTAATAGCACTTGAACTTTCAAATGGAAATGCCTTCTTGTAACCTCAACAGATATCTACTTGGTTTGTATTAAGAACTCCTCGGTAGGAGTTGCTGCTCCCAACCTCTCCAAAGATCTTGCTACACTGAGTAACACTGATCACAAGCTCTCCAACATCTACAATCTGTCCAACTACTCCTTGATGACTATTGTGCCGACTCAACAGCCATACAATTTGTATGAGGGTCATCGCAGCTGCCAGCGAATTAGCTATTTGAAATGATGTACATTAGAAAGAAAGTATATACTAAAATCTATCTATCCTTCTAAAGCTGGCTCGTCTCGAGGCATCTCATTAGGCCACATGGCGGTGTTAAATTTTGAGATAAATCTAAGAAAATTATGCATAAAAATATCCAAAAGAAAAGAAAAGACACGAATCCTACAGACTTCCCAACTATCTATCCTCTTTAAGATAAATCTAGAATATCCATAAAAAAAGAAATACGAAAAAACAAACAAAAGGCACAACATCCAGATTCTAGAGGCTTCCCAAAATATCTTTCCTCCATCTATCTATCTATCTATCTATCTCATGATGGTTGGTTTCGTGCTAACTGATTGGCTACCCTCACCGTCCATTAGTTGAGTGACACATGGCGAGATACCAGCGACGAAAAGAGCGCTGGGTAAGAAACCCACTCTATATATATAAATGGCAAGCGCACAAGTTACGATGGTGAATTCTATTTAAAAAAAGAGAGAAGAAGAGCCGCTCGATGTGCGTAGCTGGGCCACACGGCACCACAACCCCAACAGTGCGTGATCGGACTAGTGCAAACACATAAAAGAGGGGGAAAAGAAAAAAAAAATAAAAAGACGAAAAAAAAAACTTATTGTAAAATTCTTTATAAATTTTTCGGAGCAAGTATCATGATCACATATCCTATGTTTTTAAAAAACTTAAAATAATAGATAGAGAAACTAAATGACAAAAATAGTTTGCTCCTTCTTTTTAAGATTGAATTAAACAATATAATCCTGATAACTATTTTCTAAATATATTTATTTTTTTCTTACATGATAAAACAAATAGGAAAATAATATATATATCTTTTAACTTTTAAAAAACGCAACAATTATAATAAAACAAACACTTATGCCGGTGTTAAATCCACATAGTGAAGTGTCTACTTTCACAACTGCTCATGTCCCACTAAAATTAGAAAAGAAAGGGGTATTAGTTAATAAAATAAACAAGTTTTTCATGATATTTAAATCATTTTTTTCTACAATAGAAATAAGAAAATCTCGCTATAGTACCCAGACTAGTTACATAACTGAATGATGTTATTTGTTAGGAACAATGAAGTAGATAATGCAGTGAAAGTCTAAAGACTTGGATATACATGATAAAATAAATATGAGATGATATTTAAAGACGTGCAATTCAAACTTAGATAACCTGAAGGACATACCATACTTAGATTGGTTTCACTGAACTTATTCTGCACATGCATATGTTTACTTACTATTTTCTTCTAAAAAACTTTTTATTCGCTATCCTTTACTCTACCTAAAAAACTAAATGTAGGTGGAACAATATATTCCATGATAAGATAGTAAATTAGACATTTGTTACTAATCAAAAAAGGACATGAATTTTATCAACCCAAACAAAACTATTCTAATAACAAAATGTTTGTTGGGTGGGCTTCTAACAAATGT